TCAAAATTAATAGTCTCAATATAAGATAAGTTAGGTGTGAACACACGAAACCGTTAACGATAACTGACATATAAAATAACTGAAAAGAGCTTGCAGGGTGGAAGAGAAGACTATGACCTTGACACACATGACGCAGGTAGTGAATTATCTCAGTGTTCTTAATATGCTTCACAGCACGATGTTAACTATTATACAACTGTGTGAAAAACAGCTGCCTGAGGCAACAAAACTATTGTACGATTTGCTATTAGATAATAAATATACAAGGGTGGCTATGGAAACAATGACATATTTTGTTAATGCCCAAATCTCCATAAATTCATAAGGGTTTGTCATTCAAATGGCCGGATCGATCAGGGTGAAATCGGTATTTAATTTGGGGTATGATTGATGATTTTAAATTGTATTTTTTTTTTTTTTTAATTTCCAAAACGATAATTTAGCTGCCCGTAGCTGAATGTCATGTAGCTTTAGGAGCGTATACTATTACCTTACGAGCCATTTAGAAACAATAGTAGTTGTTAGGCCAAAACAGCGACACAAAATAGAGGCATTTGAATAATTCTTGCATGTCCAAACCGCGACTCCATCATAGCAAAGAAAAACATGCAATCAGTCACGGAAGAATTTTCGAAGACTTCTTTTGCAAGTTCGTTTATTTGTTTCAGACTAAAATTGTATGTTTGCAGTGGGCATCAAAGTTTCATGAGTTTGCGGGAGAGAAGAGATACAGACAGGACAGTTTCACTACACTTCAATGCAAGAACTCATTTGAAATGCTTATTTATTTGCGTCAAACGGGCCGAGTGTCCGGTTAAAGAAAAATGGCAAAATGCTACGAAACTTATCAGTTTGCTAATGCCAAAAAGAATCGCACCGCTACAATGCAAGTATAAAAATAGTTTAAAACTGATATTCTCGACTTGAAAATACACGCTGTGAACTGAATCTTATTAGACAAGGGGCGCAACACGTGGATAATCGCAAACAAAGCGGGAAATCGCACTGCAACAAAAATGCTCTCTAAATTATTATTTAAAAAAAAAGGAGGGATACAGAATATGTATATATAGAAGTATATAGTCAATTAAAGGTGTGACAAAGTTCTTTCAACAACACTTTTTAAGAACATTGTTAAAGACAGTGATGGAAATCTGAAGTTCGCTGCCTGAACTCTAATGACCAGTACAGTCTTCATCTAAGTATTTCAGTTAACTGAACCGCACGAATATAACTTACTAAATTTAGATACGAATACGTTGAAATATATCCGGTACAGGTGATCTCTAAAGTCAAGAACTTCAAGTTGCATGTCAAGTCTGAAGTACGCAATAAGTGAAAAAAGATGAGATTTAAAACAATTAGCTAAGTTAGAAGCTCTGATGTATTATTCTTACTTTCCTTGCCGATCATTGAATGTTTCTGCATTGCATTTAAATTTTAGCCTTTTAAATGAAACAGAGGCAGTAAGCTTTTTATAGAGAACATGCATGCATTTTGGATGTATGACTTTAGGCAAACGGTTGATAACCATTGCCTGCAGGGGCAAAGAAAAAAAATAACACGATCATGCACAATTTGGTCACGGTTTGCACCTTTGGAATTACGAACTGGCGTATACATTTTGGAAATGTCTCATCTCGTTATGAAATCCTACCTGTAGAATAAAGCCCAAAGAAAACAAAACACCATTTAAAAGACCTGAACAGCAGCATCTTGCCATGGACATTGCAGACTACTCTTTCCTCTGAGCCTGCGCTGCTTAGCAACATCAGTTATGAAATACTGAATCTGCGTGACGCCGATTTTAGAAAACGTGAGCGGAACAATTTTTGTTTCAATTCAAAAGAAAGAAAGCAAGCAAGAAAGAAAATACATTCATTGGCTGTGATGTGTTCTGTCGTGCTAAATATTAAATGAAGCATATCATACAAGCCGATTAAGAGACCGCTTCGCGATTTGCTCACTTGCTTTTCTGATACTTTGGTGATGTGGTCTGTACTGGAAAGCATTTCACGTTTGACTTGATTTATCAGTGATTCATAGAAATCTCTGAATGTGAAAATTTGCTGACCAAAGGAAAAACGAAAGACAAATTTGGCCACATAATGTTATATTAATTTACACCTTGAACCATTATCGAGCCGAAAGGAAAAATTGATCTTTTAAAAAGAACAGTGTAGCTACTCGGCCGTCGACAGAACTCAAGGCGAGTCAAAAACCGCCGAATTTTAGGGACAAGCAATGCACACTGAGACTATATGATTGGGGCGTTCACGTCCAGACTGGCTGTAAGTAAACATTCGGAAACTACTGATGACGATCGTTTTGATATGGTTGTAGTTTGCTTGGATTAGACATACTTGCCCGAAGGTAATACAGCCAGCTATCTCGGCTTTAATAATGCGGACACCCGCAATGAATTAAAAGCATGCAGACACCCAGCAGTTGATTTTTACTTTACAATCCTTGCTTGCCTGTTATATAAGAATTACTACAACAAGTAACAAAATGCGGCTTTAAACCTTAATGCATACAAAAGGTAAAGATCTAGAAAAGAGGATCTTCATTGAAGATAAATCATGTACCAGAGACTCATATATCCCTGTATGTAGCTTTAAGACCAAGATGTACCTCTTAATTACTCGTAATCACACAACATTTCGCTTTTTCAACCTTGTTTGTATTAAATTAACTGACTAAAAGGTTTTATCACCATAGCTAAGAGTTATTGTTGAAGTGGAAAATGTATTCAACTCTCTCAAATGATTGAGTGAAGAAATGATTTAACTGTTACAAGAGGAACAATATTCTACAACATAGAATTGCTAGATCTGCAAATAAAAACAAGGGAAACATCGCAACAGCACTGCGGAGTTTCCATTTAAGTTTTTTGAAAAAATAATTCTTTACACATGTACGTCAGTTATTTGGTATCATAATCTTAAATTATACCTTGAGAATATATCCAGACCACGATCAGGAGCACTGTGAAATGCATTTGTAACAGCATTGCATGGATCTTAAACAGCTTATTTGTTTGACCATCGCAGTTACTCAACCGATCACAGGCGATTAAATTGTATACATGTTTTGCCATCACACCGCATTCAATTGATTTCATAATAATATCTTAACCAATGGCTGCAAATTGTTTTAGATAACTTGGCGTGATAATAAGAATGTTTTAAATGCAAGAGCGTTAACTGGATTTTTATATTTTGCCATTCCACCGAAGTTAATTTCAAGTAAAAAAAAGCTTAATGTGAGACGTAGCGAAAATACGCTTATAAAATAAAGCTTGCAGAGAAGTTTTATTCAAGATCACAGCCTCGTTACGTAATCACTTCGAATACGGTAGATCCAGACGGCTTTTATTTTGGTGAAGTCATCCTCTATTTGTAGTAGAATCCAAATAACATTATTTTTTAAAGCTGTCAGTCAATACTCAGATAACTCTATGACTTGTAGTAGGTGGATGAGCTCCATGTTATTCTCGTTAGATTAGAAATAATGAACATTAAACAGCTTTAACGTTAGTCAGATTGAGAGGGCGCATCATAGCATTTATGAGCTACTAAAAACCGAAAGTTCAGGCTCCTGATGAGTTACGGTCACCTATCGGTAACATATAGTTAGGTATGTGCCGCACCAAAGGGTAGCGGCTTTGCGCCGTTTTGGTCTGAAAACGGGCATATAGACTTGCTCATTCTGGTATCGGGTATGGTTTTCAAGGGAACTACGGAAGTGTACGAACGTATTTATTGTTTCAATTCCAAATGAGCTAAACAATGACGACATAATTTCTTAGCGGCCAGGTCTGAGAATAGGTATGGATTTTAGAGGCCCGGTCTGAAAATGAGACACGAGTCCAATGTCCCGGTAAATTATCTTTTTGCTCGAACATTAATCTTTTCACGTTCGCGTCATTGAAAGGCTTTCCTCAGAAAAACCGACAGACCTAAAGCATGGATGAATGAACGTGGAATTGTTTTAGGATAAAAAGAAAATCTGAGTGGCGTAGGTAGAATGTGCAAACAACATTCGAGGAGATTCAAGGGATTATGTAGGGAGGCTACTACTGTTTTATAATGTTTTTGGGTCTATTCTGTTCTGAAGTCACTGTACTTAGTGCTTTATCCATTCATAAAAAAAGCTCCTGAAGAATTATGAAAAAGATATCAAGCAAATTTCATCAGGGAGTACTTCTGTAACATGATATTTGTTTGGATGATTATTACAGGTTAGCATTAATAATCAAAAAAGTTGGCCTAACGTTTTCAAGTTTAAATTACAATACATTGCAAAAGGCGACAGGAAATGATTAGTGTCAAATCAGAGGAATGAATGAATCTGGACCATTATTTTTTTTTTAATTCAACTGATGCACAGAAATGTTTTAGCTTTTAAAAAGATAGCAAATAGTTTGACTTAGCTCTAACAAAGATTTAACCTTGTAAGGCGCTTCATGTCTCCAGCAGGAGAGATCCTATAGGTAGCCACCAACATTCTCTGGATAACACACTGCTATTCTGATCAGTTGATCATCAATTGGTCACCTGAGCAAATTGTGCCAAAGGTAACAACGATTGAAGTCAAATTAAAAACTAATTAGAACTTTTGCAGGTCTCAGATCCAGTTGGTTTAGCGACAGCTTTTAAGGTACTGTTTAAAGTGCCCCTAACCCTTAAATTTGTTTTCTTTTGGTAGATTTCCATATTTGTCAAGAACTCATTTTCGAAAAAATTTTTTAGAAATATTGAATCCTTTTTTTTTACGAGCGCCGAAAGTTACTGAAATTTTTAAGTTTTTGCGCGCTTTAAGCCCCGCTGGACAAATTTTTGTCTCGTGGGCTCATTAGGAACGAGCCAATGAGAAGCGTCCGATATTTGACACTTTCTTAGCTGTGACGTGAGAAAAGGACACCATTCCAAAACACGAAGCATTGAAAGTATGGATCCTTGAAAGTATAGTGCGATCGAAGATTATTGGTATGAAAT